GCCAAATCCCACATTTTCAAGGCCAAATCCCGCATTTTCAAGGCAATCATCAGCTTAATGGGTTCCCAGAGAAACCCTCTCGGGGAGGAGATGAAGCACAGCTCTTCACCAAACCCAAGAAACCCTTTGGTGGACAAACAGACACGGACACAGACCCTGTAAATACATTTCATGTTTAATTTGGACGTCGATCGCTCTGTAAAACACCTTCCCAGCCCCGCTCTGTCTGCACACAGGTACACACACCCCTTCAGCAGCCGGCGCGGATGAAAAGAGACATTGCAACCTCTTCCAAGACCAAATCCCCATGTCTTACCTCCACACCCCAGATCCTCCCCCGGTCAGTTCCCTCTCACCACACCGTGACATACCGAACACCTCTCCTCAGCTCATCAAAACGAGTGAAAGAATAAAAATAACCCCAAACGACAGCTTTAGAGGAGGGAAGCTCCGAACACCAGCAACCCTTGTAAATCTCTCTGCTCTAGAACCTGCTCTGTACCCACCACACGTGTCCCACGGGGCAGCATCGCCCCAGCAGTTTTGGATTTCAGCCGGAATTGGCTTCACGATTGGGAAGGAGACAGGCATAGAGCAGGATGCTCCTTCCCCACCCTTCTCACAACATATCCAAGCTCAGAGAAAAACTTCAGAGGTTTTGGGGTAGTTATACACATTAAACAACCCCAGGACCCCTTCCTAACCCAGCTTCTGCCAACGACCACAGCGTTAATTCAACTAAACCACACCAGAAACCCGGGTGTCCCGCTGGCACCGAGCCCTGGGGAGCGCAGGGAGACCAGCACCAACACCAATATTGCACAGACAGCTCCGGAGGGCTGCAGAGTGGGGGTCCCACGCCTGGGAGGAGGCTTCACCCCCAGGCTTGGTCACAGCAGAGCAGCAGCACCACCGGCTTTCACCTCTAAACCCAGTACTCTCCTAGCACAGAACATGAGGAAACCCCTCTCTCCACCGCCAAAGGGGATGAGTTTCTCCAAGGGGAGCAGAATAAAACAGGAATCTGCTTCCCAAGGGCTCTGCTCTCCCTTGGCGCCTCAGATCGCTCTCCCACTCGCCTTCACCCTACTCTACAAATCCACCCGCAACAGCCAGGACAACGGCACACGCTTCCTTCAGCACAGAGGGGCTCCCACGCTGCAGAAGGGGCAGGTCTCCCCTCTCCTCCCGTCAGCAAGACTCTCTCCATCTGTGCTGGGAACAAAAGGAATCATCCGCGGTGAGCAGCACGCACGAGGCGAGTGTTTTCCGCATCATCATCATCTCCCGAGACCAGCCCGGCCGCTTCTCCCATCACACACCATCCCGACTGGGAATATAGGAAACGGGCTCCCCGAGACCTGAATACTTTCTTTGTTAAGGCTTAAACTAGCAATTCAGCTGCTGCAAGAAACCAGACAGGCTGCCAAAAGAAAATGAGTTAAAAAGAAAACCCAAACCACCTTGGTGCCAGGCACACAGAGGGCTTTGCTTTGCTTTGCTTTCCTCTCCCAGGCAGCAAATCCATTCCCGACACCCACCCGGTTAGCACATGACACAAACCTGGTTTAAGGGGTTTGTTTTTTTTAAAAAAAACCCAAAACCAGCCAGAAAAAACGCAAACTAAACTCTCACAAAAGCCCCGCAGGTGGGACTGTCACATTAAATATACAACTGAAGCCAACTTTTTAAATGTCTTAAAAAAAAAAACCAACCCAAAAACAAACCACACGCGCGTACACGCACACTTTGGCACACAAGCCTTAAATATCACTTGAAACATTTCAAAGTCAGAGGAGAGCTACTGGGGGGGCTTTTTTGTTGTGTTTTTTTTTTCTTTTTTTCTTTTTTCCTTTTTTTTTTTTTCCCTTTGTAAAAAGATATCAAGCAGTGGTGTTGGTGAAGCATGAAGAGCGAGTACAAAGGTTGAACAGTCCCAGAGTAGTTCTCACAACGCTGCTCAACGCTTGCACTCTTGATTACTTTCCCAAAGTGGTTAGCTGAGTACATACATGTATATAAAAAAAAAACCTAACGCAGACATTCCCGGTTTTCAATGTGAAAACGTAATCGAGCACTTGTGCATTTGCAACAGGGTCCTTGGGAAAAGGAACCATAAAAATACTTCTTTTTTTTTTTTTTAATAAAAGGGGTTTTTTTTCTGGTTTTTTTCTCTTTTTTTTTTTTAACCCTTAACTTAAGTAAAGAGCAAATATACACCTATAAGCAGAGTTCAGATCCACTTTACTGAGAGCCTGGAAGTCCGTACATCAAATGAATTCCCAGTGGTGTTATCGAGACACTGGAACAGCTCCCAGCTCCAAAGGGCTGGTGTTCCTGAAAGATCTGCAGCCCCGGCTAACCTCGTTAACCAGCGCCAAGCAAAGACTCTTTCAAGCCTCACCTGTCTCAGCCAACACTCCCCCAACAGACTCTCTCTCTCTGCCAAGCAGAGCCTCACACACGGGACCCGGCTCTGGGAGCATCAGAGCTGGCAATCTGGGCAACAAGAGTTGCAATCTGGGCAACAAACCTGAGTCCTGGCGATTTCAACCCACGTCAGGTTGTAACAATGAAAAATATAAGCACTGAGCTTCTATTTTCTTATTACTCAGAAGACAAGACCACTGATTCCAGCTACTGAGAAACAGCTTCCAGAGGAGAGCCAGGAGGAAATTCAGTGATAGAGAAACTAGCTGTGCAATAAGAAAGTGCATTTAAAGGTAGCTTAAAAACCAGATTAAAGATCAAATCGCCACTCGACAGGAGGGAGAATCAAGCTCCAGCAGCCACGCTCCTTGGGCTGGGTGGGTTAACATTCAGGCTCTCTCTCTCACGAGTCCGAGGGGCAGGAGAGAAGCGTGCATTCCCCGTGCTTGGACAGGGACACAGTTCTCCTGGCAGGCCATGCTCTCCTGCCCGCTTTGTTCCTGTGCGGTATCAGTTCTGGACAGCTGTCATCGGAATTCGTAGATAGGAGCGCTGTGCTCAGGAACGTGAGTTAAATTCAATGACTGATACCTGGGAGAGAGGGAAAAGACAGAGGAGAGGATTACACAGAGCAACAGAACTCCCTGAGTGCCAACAGCTCCAGCTCGGCAGGTCACAGGGCAGACACCCCAGTGGCTGCCTCTTCTCCTCCCCTTCACAGCCTCAGAGTGTTCAGGCACCAAACACCCACCCACCCCTGGAGTCAAAACCCTGCGAGGACTCAGTATCGTTCCTCATTTCCATTCCTGTGCCTCTGAGCTACCTGAGCCAGGCTGTGGTCGGGGGGGCTGGCTGTGGTCATGGGGGGCTGACTGTGGTCTCTGGACACCTTTTGAAGTTCAACAACTTTCATGTTCAAACAGTGATGGCTACAATTGCAAATTACACTCATGTCTTTCAAAGCTTAGCTCCAGGGGATTCATCTGAAAGCCTCCCAGGTACCTTCCCTCCCCCCTCCCTGAGAGCTTCCAGCCACCCTATGGATTCACTTGCCCCACATGACAAACATCCAAGGCTGTCAGAGGGAAAAGAGTCACTTTTTTCTCCACACCTACCTCTCACGTGGCTTTAACAAGAAACCAACCAATTAACTTTGACTGTTCCCCGTGTCTTACAGACACACCACAGGACTACAAAGCACCAGCCTAAGAAGATTTCTGCCTGAAGGGAGCAACAGCCAAGCTGTTATATGTGAGAAAACATCGAGCTCCCTCTCAAATGCCCCTCCAACATCCTCTGGAGGGCCAAGGTATGAAGAAGCCCAAACTGAGGGAGCACAGCCCAGCACATGAGGCCAGGCTGCCTGTCCTCACAGGAGGGCAGGAGCAGGCAAGTCCCACAAGCACTTGGATTGGAGACCAGGCTCCTGGGACCTACAAGAAAGTTGGGGAGGGACTTTTCATAAGGGCAGTTAATGACAAAACAAGGGGAAATGGGTTTAAGCTGAAAGAGGGGAGGCTTAGATTAGATATTAGGAAGAAGTTCTTCACTGTGAGGGTGGTCAGACACTGGAACAGGTTGCCCAGAGAAGCTGTGGCTGCTCCTACCTGGAAGTGTTGAAGGCCAGGCTGGATGAGGCTTTGAGCAACCTGGTCTAGTGGAAGGTGTCCCTGCTGCTGGCAGTGGGGTTGGGACTGGATGAGCTTTAAGGTCCCTTCCAACCCAAACCATCCTGGGATTCTATGATTTCTGTGAACCACAGCTGGTGTCTGGCTCCCAAGGTACCAACTGACACACCAGACCATCATTTCTCTGGGCCACAGCACATCTCCAGACCTCCTCTCTCCCCTGCACCACGCTGCCAGCCCCATTACCCCCAGCTGTGCAGGGCAGCACTTTATGGGCTGTGCTGGCCTGCTCTGCCCAAGCACAACACACACACACACCCTCCCTCCTGCCTCGAGGTCCAGCCACCAGCCTGAACTTCCTTCCCAGCCCAGAGAAGCACTGCCTGGACACTGCCAAGGCTGCAGACAAGCAGCAGAGGAGTCACTGCTTGGTTTGAGGAGTCACCCTTCAGCCCACGGGAGGAAGGAAGCTTCCTTACCATTCTGAACTCCTATGGTAGTAATAGCCCTCTATAGATGCTGCTGACTTCTGGAAGCAGATGTAATAGAAACCAGCAAAGGAAGCACCGCTGATGTCTTTGATAGTGTGATCTGGGACTAGGAACTGTTCCTGCACACAGAACACAGACTGTATTTTAAAATGCCAGTCAGGTATTACCCCTCCCACCCCAATCTGCCCTCCCAAACTGAGTATCAGCACCCATTAAGTGCACGAAGGCACTCCTTGCTGGGCATTCATTCCCTGAACCAGTTTCACAGAGTGCACGAGATCAGTTTGAGTTCTGCCCCCTACAAACCAAAAGCCAATTCCAAACCCGGGAATCAGAGCTGCCTGGTGATGAAGAAAAGGCTCTGAGGAGACCTGACTGCAGCCTTTCAATACTTAGAGGGGGCTTATGAGAAAGATGGAGAGAGACTTTTTACCAGGGTCTGTAGTGACAGGACAAGGGGTCATGGTTTTAAACTGAAACAGGGTAAATTAGATACAAAGAAGAAATTTTTTACACTGAGGGTGGTGAAACCCTGGCCCAGGTTGCCCAGAGGTGGTAGAAGCCCCATCCCTGGAAACATTCAAGGTCAGGCTGGACAGGACTCTGAGCAACCTGATCTGGTTGAAGATGTCCCTGCTCACTGCAGGGGGGTTCAACTTGATGATCTTTAAGTGTCCCTTCCAGCCCAAACCATTCTGTGATCCTGTGATTTCCACCCACTGTGGTGGCACAAGGCTCATGTAAAGAGGGAGGAATTGATCCAGCTAAAGAACAGGAAGGTGCAGACAGGCACCAGAGACACCAATTCTTTCATCCTCTGGAGCATCACGAAGCAAGATTTTCCTGTTGTGTTTTTAGCCATGACTGCAGCCCTTAAGAATGCAATGAGCTGGCTAGACAGGAGCCACACTGGAATCTGCGAGTATGGTGGGTGACGAGGTTGGTAGGGTGAGATCTTTCACTAAACCAGCAGAGCTGAAAAAGCTTTCAGGCACCACAAGTCTCTGTCAGTCACTGGTAAGCAGCTCATCAGAGAAGGAGACATGCAGAGTTTACCTTCCACCTCATGAAGACATAGTCCCCATTTTTCAGATCTTCATAATCAAAGTCATCAGAGTTAAATGTTTTTGCATACTGGTAAAAAGCCTGGAACTTCCCCTGAAATGAGAAAAGAAAAGAAAGAAAAGCAGGATGCTTATTCCAGGAGTAGAGCTCAGTCGTATCAGCTGCTGTTTAGGAGGTAAGAACTGCTATGGTGTGGGATCTCCTCACCAAAGGGGCTTCTCTTCCCTTGGAGCAGTGCTAAACACACCCCGCAGGACTGGCACAGAGGAACAGAGAGGGCTGCCAGATATCCCCAGCCCAGCTGGAGAAGCTCCTACACTTCCAGAGGATGTTATTTTGACAGAAGCACAATAAATATCAAACAACAGCAAAGGTCAAGGCAGGGAGGTAATCAGCTGGCTGCTGTGGCCCTGACCCACACCCGACCCCAAGCTGGGGGCCCAGGTGGCTGAGACACAGGTACCAGCAGCTCTGTCTGTACCAGAGGGACACCTCTCTCCTTCCCCACTTTGTGATAACCCTTCAAAACGAGGAGTGTGCTCTCCTAGGGGAGGTCAAGAGATGGGGATTGCTCCTGCTCCCTTCCAACCCCAGGGCCAGCAAGTGGAAAGTGAGACACCCCGTCCCTTCTCCTGCATCACAGCCAGCAGCCTGCTGAAGGGACCTCTAGCTGCAAAGATCCCAGTGGGGGAAGGAGGGAGACACTCAAAAAAGAAGAGCTTTCCAGGCTTTTCTGACAGCTCTTGCATGGGCACACGCTGCACCTCACCTCTAAATCAGTTGCTCAGCCAGGAGTGCAGCAGATCCACATCTGCCCCCCAGATTTATTTACCCAGTGTTTACGATCCACATCTTCATCAGCATCCCACTTGCGCGTTAAGAAAGGGTGCTTTTTACTGATTATTTCCCCTTCAAAGAACGTGGTAAGAGTTGGGTACTCCTAGGAGAGAAGAAGGAGAGGTCAGAAGATTTGTCACTTCAAGATAGAAACTCAAACACGGGTAGAGGAGACGCTCAGCAAAGAGCAGCATCTGACAGCAAGAGCTGCGGGCAATGGAAGGCCGGTGCTCCCGTCCCTCAGCGCGCTGCCTCGTCCTGCCCCGCTCCTCAGAGCCCGACTCTGCGCACACACAACCTCCATCCTCCCACCCCGGCCTCCCCCTGCCTCTCTGTTCACTTCAGGAAACCAGGAGCTTCAGGAAACCAGGAGAGGCTGTGTCAGAGCTGGAAGGCAGGGAAGCTCCCAGCTGGATGATCCCAAGTGACTGTTTAGAGGCAGCACAGCTCCCCGGTGCATTCCCAGCGGTTGCTGCGTGATTCCTACAAAGCCCCAGGGCTGGATTGAGCCACCCGACCAGGGGAGAAGGTGCTGCCCACCAGCTCTGCGTTGGCACCGAGTCAGGAGAACATGGGCAGGGAAGAGCAGGCTCAGCTGAGGAGAGAAAACTTCTCCAAGTGCTCCCATGTAACGACAGGCACGCGGTGCGCTGCAGCCCGAGGAAGCGTCGCCCCTGGGAGAGGAGATCTCCCCGGCTGTCCCACCCCGGGAGCAGATCCTGGAGGATGGAAAGAGCTGACTGCCTGGGGCCTGGCTTCTATTTTAGTTTTTAGCAGCACATCACCACTGGTAGAGTGTCCAAAGCTGACTGAGGGTCAGCTCCCTGCTCAGACTCCAGGGATATCACAGAATCACAGACTGGTTTGGGTTGGAAGGGACCTTAAAGCTCATCCAGTCCCAACCCCCCTGCCAGCAGCAGGGACACCTTCCACTAGACCAGGTTGCTCAAAGCCTCATCCAGCCTGGCCTTGAACACTTCCAGGGAGGAGCAGCCACAGCTTCTCTGGCCAACCTACAACTTCAGGTCAGATGAGCTTCCCTCATTCAGGACTCTGTCCTATGTGCTTGACGTGCCAAGAACAACAGACTGAAGCTGTTAAACCCCTTCATGGTCAAATTTACTGTATGTTCAATCCTTCCACTTCCTATTTCTGGTGGCAGCTCCTCCTGCCCCACCAGGAAAGAGAAAAGCCTTTACCCAGCATCTTTTCCTTGCTGCTTTGCAGTTAACACTCACCTCTGTAAGGCCTTTAATCTTCAAGTATCCACAGAGATAGGAGTTCTCCATATCCACATGCTAGAAAAGAGTGCAAAGTCCAACCATAAGCACACACACCAAGGCACCCACTTGGTCCAAAACAGTTTCTAACCCCTCCAAGACTAATTTCAGCTCCAGTTCATACACACTGTCCAGCTGAGTGCCCAACACTCACACCAGCAGCCCTTCCCCTTGGCTGGGAACCACTCAGAAAGATGATTTACAGGTGCTCACCTCTGCCAGCCCCCACATCCCACACCTGATAACACCCCACCTGCTCCCAGCTCCGTGACACTGAGGCAGCACCCTCTGCCCAGGGGTCTCTGATGGGGAGCAAACCCCATCTCTCCATCCAGAAGGAAGCAGACTCACAATCTTCTCCAGTGACACCACCTCTGGCAGAATCACCCCCAGCCCCATATTTCCCAGTCAACTGCTACCAGCAAACTGGCATTCAGGTGAGAGAAAAGAGGAAAAGGCATTTATTTCATCGAGATCATTCAGGTTAGAGGAAGAAAGCAGAGCTCTGAGCTTCTCTGGCTGCTTATTTAACATGCCTGACCCACACCTCACCACCTGCACTCTCTGCCTCCTCCCCAGCCTGGGCACAGCACAAGCCAAAGCCAGAAACATCTCAAAACATTTTGGAGGAGACTTTTCTCCCAGATCTAATGTTTTCATGCCACCCTTTTGGAGTTACAGGGCTGCACCTCGCTGCCTCTGCTGCGCAGGAACCAGGCGGGTGGCTGCATCTATTCCAAACACCTTCAAAATCAGATTTTCTAAGCTTTTCCCTGACATCTCCTGATCAGTTTTCAAAACAAGAGGCGAGTTATACGGGGGAAGTACAAACATCATCTGTGAGGAGATGGATCTTCCCCACCTGTGATCACAGAAT